TATTCCATTCTCTTTTTCACTTATCACTGCGACAGCCTGAGGTTCCACTCCCCTCTCCCTGAACATGGGTTCAGGCCCAAGTGTGTTGGTTCTCTGCTGGTGAAGGTACCGCTGAACATGGCTTGGTAGTAAAGTGCAAGGTAATGTTGCCTCGCAAGTATGCCAAGAGCCAGAGAATTGGACAAGCTAGCAAGATCTTTTAAGAAACTGTGGCTTAACTGATGGTGGCTCTTATTCTTTTCATCCAGGTTTACATCCTGTGGCCTGACCTGTAATCATTTTCTGCAGCAAAACCCACCACATGGTATCTGCTGACATGAGCACTGGGAAGGTCCACATGAAAGACCCAATATCTTATTTGCAGAGCCAAAGTTGCAAAAATAATCTGCTGCTGTGGGAAGACGGATGAGAACAAACACAGACCTGGATGTTTTCCCCAGACACCTTCAGTTAAATGAAAATTATAGAAACCCATGTAAATAAAGGGAATAAAATAAAATAAACATGCTACATCCCATCCTTTTTGAAGTCTTTTTCCTGCTTCAAAGCAGTCCTCAGGCTTTGCTGCTCTGTGTGGATGTACAGGTCATACACATGCTAGCCCTACACAGTCCTCAAGGACAGCTTTGCAGCCCACACATCTTTGAACACCATTTTTTGGCTGGGGATACCTTAGGAGAGGCAGCATCACCCTCTGTATCCTGCAGCCTCCAGTGGTTAAAGCAAGCGTTTCATCAACCCCAGGCCCTGGTATTACGCTGGACTGGAAATGCTCAGGACAGGCATGTGGACTCCAGAACTTGGAAAGAAAAAAATTAAAGTCACAGAATCACAGAATCACAGAAACACGTTGAGGTTGGAAGGGACCTTTACAGGTCATCTAGTCCAACCACCTGATCAAGCAGGGACATCTAGAGCATGTGGCACAGGGTGGCATCCAAACAGGTTTTGAAGATCTCCAAGAATCTCCAAAATATCTCCAAAGACTCCACAACAACTGGACAGCCTGTTCCAGTGCTTTTTCATCCTAAGAGTAAAGAAGTTATTACTTGTATCCTGATGAAATTTCCTACATTTCAATATGTACCCATTACTCTTTGTCATGTACTTTCTAGCCCCGCTCCCCTTGGTACTCTAGGCTTTCTCTCTCTCAACTTTAACCATAGGCCCTAACCATAGGCCTAACCCTAACCGTAGCCCTAAGCTTGAGGTGACTAGGCCTAGAGCTTGGTCAAAGGCAAATATGCTCCTACCACCAGTCTGGATATAGCATTACATTTGCTTTCACCTGCCCTTTCTAGCGCCGCTCCCCGAGGGAATCTAGGCTTTTTCTCTCTTAACTCTAGCCCTAACACTAACCCTAGCCCTAACCTTAAGCTTGAGGTCACCAAGCCTAGTTCTGGTTAAACAGCAAATATGGCCCTAACTCCAGTCTGGATATAGGGCTATGTTTCCTTTGGCCAGCCTTTTCTAGCCCCACTCTTCTTGGGGCTCTAGACTTTCTCTTTCTTCCAGATTCCTGCTAAAATAACAAAGCCCCAAGAAAGGAGTTGTCAAAACAAAACTGGGAGAGCATGAGACTGCTGTCCGGGATATATGGGGACAGGGAGTAGCTGTGGTGAAGCCAGCGGAGAAGAGCAGATGGAAGGACTGCTGTGGAGGTCAGGACACAGATGAGCACAAGAGATAGCATGCAAGGAACAGTGCAGAGCAGTTTGCATGGGAGCACTTGAATCACACACAGAATCACAGAGTGGTTGAGGTTGGAAGGGACCTCTAGAGATCATCTAGTCCAATCCCCTGCTCCAGCAGGGACACCTAGAGCACGTGGCACAGGGTGGCATCCAGGCAGGTTTTAAAGATCTCCAGAGAAGGAAACCCCACAACCTCTCTGAGCAGCCTGTTCCAGGGCTCTGGCACCCTCATAGTAGAGTTCTTCTTCGTTATATGGAGGTAGAACTTCTTGTGTTTCAACTTGTACCCATTACCCCTTGTCCTATCACTGGCCACCACCAAGAAGAGTTTGGCCCTGTCCTCCCTACATTCTCCTCTCAGGCACTTAAACATATTGATCAGATCCCTTCTCAGTCTTCTCCTCTCTAGGCTAAACAGGCCCAGATTGCTTAGTCTTTCCTCATAAGCTAGATGCTCCAGTCCCTAAATCATCTTTGATGCCTTGCACAGCACCCAGAGCAAATGCAGGGCAGGAGGGATGGGAGGTCCCATGGACGGCCGCGCAGCGCAGCTCCTGCAGGCAGCATGCAGGAGAGAGGGCTGCGGAAAAGCTACCAGGCAATGACCACCTGTGTCCCCTCTGCAGGCTGCTCGGCTGGTCCTTCACATGTTCTTCTTGGGGAGAGTTTCTGCTGGTTAGGGAGGTTATCCTCATCCCCACCCAAGCTGCTCCGGGGGTCCAGAGCAAGGAGAAGATGCCATCCCTGCAGAGATGAGTCTTCAAGGCTCCTGAGTCTCCAGGCAGCTGTACAGCAGTTCCCTGTCTTCCTAGTAGCCTTCATTTCTGTTTACAAAAGGGTTTGTCTTATTCATGGTATTATCTTCTTCCTGCCTTCTCCTTTACATTGGGCCTGAGAAGTTGTCCTTAAATTCAAACACAGATATTTTAAAGCAGGTATCTTAGATCTCATCCACACGTGGGCAAGTCAGGGTCAGGGGAGTTCTACAGCAGTAATGAGCTTGCCAGCACTGCTCTGCCATTCACACATTGCACACCTTGCTGCATCTCTGAAAGGCTTCTCTCCTTTGGAAGGTCCTTCACTGATTTCTGTCTGTCTTTATTTTGCTGATTAGGCCTTACAGAAATAATGAGGTTGCTTTAGAAATCCTTCTGGGAATAAAAGGGTGGTTAGGCTAATGAATATCAAAAGCTTTCGTTTTATTGACCTAGACTTGACTGAGAAAAGCTGCAGCTGCCAGTTTCTTTGAGCAGATCAAGATCACACTGTTGCAATATATATATATATTTTTGCCTGAGACACAGCCAGTAACTGTATAACAGAAAAGTTGCCTGAATATTTTGTTTTAAAGAGACACAGGCAGTCATTTTAGAGGCCAAAGATCCTAACCAAAACTCAAAGATAGTGAGGTTGTTTTATAGAGTTACTGTTAACTACTGGCATCAGGAAATGCTGACTCTGGCGTAGGACAGAGCAGTTAACCTTTGCAACTCTAACCCATGTCAGAGAATGAGTGCCAATTAATAAAGTCTGTTCTTATCACAGCAGCTAACGGTCACATTGCAGCTGAAATGACACTGGCACTATTTTGTCAGAAGGAAATGACAATGCTTTTTTTCCTAGAAAAACCTCTCATTTATTCCCTCAGAATGCAAAGGCATTTCAAGACTGTCAGACCTTGGGTTCCACAAGATTTGCAGAGAAAGCTTAAGAAAGTAAAGGAACTGTTGACTGAACACAGTGGTGTTGGAAGAGCAGGGAAACAACCTTCTCCCCTCACGTGGATGACAGCCTTTCTATATGTGGAAGTGCTTTCAGTGGCAAGATTAAAAGCTCAAGGCACTCTACACAGCACACTGATCAAATTTAATGCTATATCCCTTTCAGATGCCAGTCAGCATTACTGCAATAGACTTGTGCAATTTATTTTAAAATCATTATTGTGTTATCTGGGAGCCCCAAAGCTACTTTCATAATAAGAAGCACCATGGAGGCAGCTAATCGCTATATGAATCTTCTTACCAAATACTTTGTTGCCCAAAATTCTGAAAAGATAGCAAAACAAATCCAACTAATCCATTGATGGAACTAATCCAACTAATTGATGGAAATATTTTAACTTGACTAGTATTCAGCAGAGATGTAATCAAACACCCATCACAAGCTGTTGAATGATAAAATGGTCCCAAAATAGTATATATATATATATATGAATAAGCTTGATTTTTATACGTGACAGTAATAGAGATGATATAACAGTATCCTTCTTTACATCAGAATTATTCTCAGGTAGGAACATAGAGATGATATAACAGTATCCTTCTTTACACAAGAATTATTCTCAGGGAGGAACATACTGATGCTTTTTGCAAGCTTGTTGCAAGTTAAGGTTGTATTTTAATGGAAGGGACTTAATCTGAATTCAGAAGAGATGAAGTTGTATTTATCAGAGTGTGAAAACAGCTCTCTCTTTGGCAACAGCATGGTTGTCACATAGCTATTCGAGACATGGGCAATACTATGATGGTAAGAAACAGCATTTCCTTTTTAGGAGGAATATAACCCATCTGTCTTTCAACTGTATGCTCGTACATCCAGCGAAGCAGGGGCTGACTGCTTTTTTCTGCATGCCTGGCAACATGCAAACCCCGTGGTGAAAAGCTTGTCACGAATGAGTTGGTGGATGTAGGCAGAAAGGCCAGGCCTGATGAGTACCTGATGAGGGAAGGTCCTAGCTTCCAGAGGGTTACCCTCTGCTACAAATAGGAGTTTGTGGAAGGCTCAGATAATACCCAAGTCTAAAACCCACATCTGGCTGTAGAAAACATTCCAGATACAGACACTCTCTCTGTCTCTTTGGGAATGATAGCAGGATCAACTAAGAGGATAGTGTTGTTGTTGAGGGTATCTACAAGATCTAGATTCATACTTTAATAAACTGAAGACAGAAATTGCTAAAGTATCCCAAGTGCTAGCTGTAAAGCAGGCTTAATTAATAGTGCTTCCTCTCTGCTTCTTGTCACGTACACACAGAATTGAGTGTAACAGGAACCCAACATTGGATAATCTCTAAATGACATCAAAGCGCAATTTAAAAATATGGGAAAGAAAAAGTGTAAATAATCAACTTTTGTGGAAAGCAATTCTTAGCATAGTCTAAGTAAGGACAGAGTAATTATATCAAAGGGTTGCAAAAGGCTTTCATATCAGCGGGGTCGTGATTTCTGGTAGAAATTTTTCTTTTGGGAGGGTTTATTCCACTCTGACAGAATAGAGAGAGTAGAAACACTTGTTTAAAAAGAGATTTACAGCAACACTTTATTTGTGTAAACTTTTATCTCCTTACAGTAGAAACATATACAGTACAAGCCAAAAGTAGTATAACAATTTTACAGCCAAGCTTACTGGTAAAACGCAAAACTAATTTGTATCAAATTTAAAAAAAATGTGCACTTTCTCAAACTTAACTTTGTTCAGCACATCGTTTTGATTTATATATAATAAGGCATTAATTCTATAAGAATCATTTACTATATTCCAAAATTGCATGACCTAGGTGTAACACTCTATAGCCTGATACCATTTTTGTTCCTTTCTACATTTACAAATTTAATCTATTTGCATTGACATGTAGCATACAAGCACTAAGAACAAATGCAAGCTTTGCCAATACCAGTTTCACATAAAAAATGGTGTACAAAAAGCTCAATTTTGCATTGCAGTAGCTTAGTTCTGCTGCAGCCATGACTGTAGTTTAGAAAAAAAAAAAAAAAATCCCCTTTTGGCATGTTTCCTCACTTTCCGCAATGTTTTGGTCTTTCAAACCACTGAACTGAATCTGCTCTGAACTCTGCAGAAACTAGAAGGGGATCCCATTTCTACCAGCTACCATTTTTTTTTCCTCCTCTCCCTCCCCAGAACACAACCCAGAACACTTTTTTTTTTTTTTTTTTTTTTTTTTTTTTGAGTTACATCTTCTATACAAGGAATAATCCAATTCATCCTAGCTACTATGTACAGAAATGGCTCAGGCAATTAAGTTAGTCCACCTTGTCATTAGTCAACAGGAAGTATAATTACTGTAGCTGTAAAGGAGGTATCTAGTGTTCCAGAATACGTGAGTTTATTATGATGAAAGCTTCCTCAGTTCTATTTACATGACAACTTCAGGCTCAATGTTAAATAGCAAATCGTCATTTCCTCTCCGAACTTCAAGTAGTAGAGGTGACTCATTCATCACAGCCTCTTGCAGGTCACTGGAAGTCATCAAAGGTCTCCCATTGACTTTAACGATGATGTCTCCATCTTGTATCCCTCCTCTGTATAGGCAAGAAAAAAAGCAGAAAGAATGTATTCTACCCAGAAAAACGACAGGGCTGTTCACCAAAAAGGGTGAATGTCATACTCTTTCCTTGCTTTAGCCTCCATAGGAGGGGGGTTTCATCCTCTGATAGAGGCATACTAATGAATAATGCTCACTACATGTAAAATCCGTCTTGGAATATTTCACTGAAGATTTTCTTCTAGAACAAACACACAGAGAGTACAAGTAGTCTATTTTTTCTTGGCTTTATAGAAATAGAAAGGACTTTTAGCCATGGCTGACTCATTCCATCCACCTGAAAGACCATGGCCCTGTCTCTACAGTAGATTTCGCACACAAGAAATTAAATCTATTTGCAAAATTTAAAGACAAATTAACTGCATCAACTGAATTATATATAAATTAATTCCTG